TATATATATATAATGTGTAGCCAAATATTAGAGTACTATTTATAAAATTTTAAAATATTTCTATATGCAGAGCTAAACTTGCTTACTATAATATTTATATGAATATAGAGAGTTTAAGAAGATTTCATACAATTATTTTTTAAATAATGGTGTGAGGCTATAATACGAGCCCCGAGCCACCCTCATTTGCCTAACCACTTAATCCTGCACTGAAAGACAAATGCACTTAAGGGAGATCGAATTTGTGACCCCATGACACTTACACTAGGCTGCACTACTAAATAGTCACGGTGAGTGACACATGAAGATTTCATACATACACATATAAAAAGAAGTATAAAAATTATCAAAATATTTACAAAAAAATCTAAAATGAGAAAAAAATAATTATAAAATTTTACTATTTTTTATAAATTACATAAGATGAAATTATAAAGTTAAGAATGCTGCATTGATCTACATTGATTGTACTAAATATTGTGGGAGCATTAGTATAGTGTGATGGTTGAAGTAAGAGTGATTTAGTGACAATCAAATGACACAAGTTGGGTGATAACAATATAACGTTGATAATTAGGTGTTAAAAACTAAGCAAAAGTGATTGGATGATAATGATCGAATAATAGCAACTCTTAGCTCTCTCTAAAATTAAATGAAGATCTCTCAGAAGCGAACAAAATTGATCGTAATCTATAAATTCTTTTAATATTTAAATATTTTAATAAGCATAAATTGATCAATACTCTTAGGCTCACTAGATCCCTTTCATCAATGTGCTGATTCTGACTATAAAAAATGTAAAATGTAACAATCACACAGTTGATTATGATTAAGTAATTGATTTTGGGCTCATTTGCACACAAAATCATTACACTTGGTGTTTGAGCTCATCTCTATGACATTCATCTGATTTTGAATTATTGTGAACTTGTAATCAAATGGAGCTCACCTAAAAAATAATATTAGAACATCATAATAGAGTTTACCGCAAGTTTCATTGTAAAAGCTAACGAATTATTAGATTTGAAGCAGAGGTTCTATTTAGGTCTTATATTGTAGCGAAAAAAATTACATTAGGATTTCTAATGCAAAAATACATCAGGACTGTTATCACTGTCTGCGACGCATACAATCCAGACCCGTCTTAGTAAAAAAAACTAAATAATTTAAAACACGGTTGGGTTAGACTGTACACATGACAAACAGTTATTAGAGTCAAGATGTATTTTTGCATCAGGATTCCTGACGTAATATTTTTTTCATATTTTAAGATTTGGAGCTTTTTCATGCTAGAAAAATGGGAGAATTTTATTCGTGGTATTAATAGCAACTTAGATGATGGCATATTAAGGGTATTTGAATAGATTTACATGTAATGTGTGTAAAAATTATGGCTTGGATGTAATTGAGTGCTATTGATGTGAATATCTAGGTTTTATTAAGATGATTTATATAAATACCACTCAATTTCTATATAATTACGTATCTAATACTTAAAACTTTAATTTTTACGTGTATGCCTGTTTGCATATACATGAAAATATTTACTTCACTTTTTAAAAAAATAAAAATTATTATGAAAATTTAAATAAATAAATAAATAAATAAATAAAACATTTTAAGATAAATATTTTTATGATATTTTACAATGTCATAATCTATATTTATCAACTATTTAATATCAAAACTTTTTTTTTTATATTTATATCAACTAAATATTTTTATCACATAGAATATGTCTATTAAAATTTGAGGTATCATCTCTTGAAATGTAAATACATAGACATGAAGGGGTATATATGTAAATCATAAATCCTTTTTTAAATAATAAGCTTGTTTTAATGCTGCAACTTATAATACAGTAATAAAATAACAAATCAGTTGGATAAGTGCAGCGTGTTTTCAGACTTTCAGTATCTTCTGTCATCTCAACCGTCCATTCCTGAAAAGACGGTCACTGATCAGACGGCGCAGCCACACCAGCCGCCACTTATTCCTTCTCTCTCTTCCCATACCCTTCTGGGTAGCCAACCACGCAACGAAGCGGATATAAATAGCACCGGTTCATGGCTTCCCATCTGCTCTCCTCTACGATAAGGACTGGAGGAAGAAGAAGAAGAAAACAGGGGAGTTGATGAGTTGCGGTGGAACTCACGCGTTTCAGCGATTTTCACGCGAGAAAGTTCTCATCTTTTTGAGTTCTCCTCTATAAGAAAAGGGCTCTGCGACCGTTTTCCTCCTCTTTCTCCACCACTCCTTCGTTCTTCTCGTTTCTCACAGAGAGAAACAAGACGACATGAAAGGAACAGAGCAGGAGAAAATGGTGATAGTGGTGAGAGAATACGAAGACGAGAAAGACAGGGAAGGCGCCGATGCAGTCGACCGGATATGCGAGGTCGGTCCCAGCAGCGGAGCCGCCCTTTTCACCGATCATCTCGGAGATCCAGTCTGCCGCGTTCGCCATACCCCTGCGTTCATCATGCTGGTCTGCATTGAACCCGCTCCTCTCTTCCTATTTTCACTTTCAAAACTCCAACTTTTATTCATTAAAAACCTGCATAGAAAAAATTAAGAGGGAAAGATACCGACTGTTAACATTGTGAGCATGAAGATTAATAATTAACATTCAGATTTCACACTATGCAATTCAATTCAAACGACACAAGGATTGATTACTGATTCGGTTTTCTTCCAGCTAAACAGCTTAAAAATCCTTCCTTTTTTTTGCAGGTTGCAGAGATGGTTTCTCCCGAGAGACAAATCGTCGGCCTTATCAGAGGCTGCGTTAAATCCGTCGTTTGCGGAGAAAAAGCAGCACGCCGCGGCGGTGGCTCTCTTCCTATCCACACTAAAGCAGCCTACATCCTCGGACTGCGCGTCTCCCCCTCACACCGGTAACTGCGCCCCCTTGTTACAACCTCTGTAAAACCGTGATATCAAAAAGCTGACATCTTTTCTCTGCAGACGACTTGGGATTGGTCTCAAGCTTGTTCAACGCATGGAAGAATGGTTCATCTCAAAAGGCGCCGAGTACTCTTACATGGCAACCGACAAAGACAACAAACCCTCTTTCCATCTCTTCACCGACCGCCTCCATTACTCCAAATTCCGAACTCCGACCATCCTCGTCCACCCTGTTTTCGCCGGCCACCGCCTCCCCCTCCCCCGCACTGCCACCCTCATTCCGCTCTCCCCTTCCGATGCCGAACTACTCTACCGCCGCCGCTTCTCCACCGTTGAATTCTTCCCCCGCGATATCGACGACATTCTCCGCAACTCCCTCTCTCTCGGCACCTTCCTCGCTCTCCCCTCCACCACCATCTTCTCCGGCATCGAAAGCTTCCTCTCCGCCCCCCCGGAATCATGGGCCGTGCTCAGCGTTTGGGACTGCAAATCACTCTTCCGCCTCGAAATTCGCGGCGCACCTCTAATTCTCCGCAGTTTAGCCTGGACTTCTCGCGCGGTTGATCGAGCTCTTCCATGGTTAAAAATCCCATCTTTTCCGAATTTATTTCGTTCTTTCGGAGGATACTTTCTGTACGGGCTCGGCGGCGAGGGTCCAGCGGCGAAGGAGTTTCTGCGAGCGCTCTGTCTTCATGCTCACAACATGGCGCGCGCCGACGGGTGTGATGTGGTGGCGACGGAGGTCGCTGCATGCGAGCCTTTAATGGATGGAATCCCTCACTGGAAGAGGTTATCGTGCGCGGAGGATCTGTGGTGCATAAAGCGTTTGGCGGATGATTACAGTGACGGCGCGGTCGGCGATTGGACGCGTTCGCCGCCGGGGAAATCGATGTTCTTTGACCCTCGTGAAGTTTGACTCTGTTTTCTGTTTGTACTAAGAAAAGAAGTATGACGTGGCGTTTTGTGGGGTACGAAAGTGGGGTCGGGTTTTATGGTGCGCCGTTTTTGAAAGTGGGGGGAAGTATAACGGTTATGTAGATAGAGATGTTGGGTGGGGAGATGATGAGAATCCCGTGGCGGGTGTGGTGGGAGGTGCAAGAGAGGGGCTTTTTTGACTTTTCGCTAAAGCTCTTAATATATATATATCTCCACCTTAATGATATTCTCTTTGTCTATCTATTTAATTTTTTTTATTTTAAATTATTTAATAATATATGAATTTATTTATCTGCAAAATATTAAAAAATAATTGTAAAGCTATTAAAAAATAATTTAATCTTCAAAAAAATCTATAACTCTTACAATTTTTTATTTAAAAGTCAGACCACAACTAGACAGCTGCCGCCGTATCTAGTCAGATTTCAGCGACAGTTTTTTTAAAGAATTGTCGAAATTGAGTTTACGTAAACAGATAAAATTATGATGTGATGCTGCACTGTTACCGCCGCCTACCACCGCAATTTTCATCTTAACACTAAGGAAATATTATTAATTTCTTTATTTTTTAACTCTAATAATTATTATACAATCTATTATTCATGTATAATATTTGTTTATTTCTACAAAGTGTTAAATAACCAAAATATATTCCTCTAAATAATGGCTTTCAAAATAATTAGTGGAGTTATAAAAATAAGCAAATTTAGTTTTTTAATTAATGATAAAAATAGATGAATATAGAGCTAGAAATGATTATTTATATGTCCTAAATAAGGCTTAACAAAAATTACACCTTAAATCTTTTCTTATGCCAAATCTTACCAAGGTGATCAAAGTTTGCAAATAAACAATTTGTAGTCTTAGAATCACAAAAATTAGGCTCATAGATTATGATAAATAATTTACATTTTTTCCAATAACAAATATATAATTAAACTTATAGCTATGTCTAATTAATTAATAATATTAGAATTAAAGAGGCCATATTTATATAAAGTCCAAGATCATGAGATTCATGACCAAAAAAAGAAAGCTAATTAATGTTGAACCTCATTATTTTCTTTTCTTAATTATTATACTTTTTTTTTCCTGGGTTGAATGACTAAGAGTGGACTACCTGTCACCAGGTAGAGCTCTATGAGAATAAACAAAAATATGCAGAGTTTGAAGATTGGTCGAGTGACTGTCAAACGTTCAAACAACCCAGAGGACGACCAAACCAGAGGCCAGAGATAAATCAAATTTGCCAAACAAGGGTAAACTAACCATAGTTCAGTCGAACCAGAGTTTAAACAACTCAGATACTACTCAAATAGAGGTCAACCGATAAAGGGATAATCACATGGCAAGAAGCCAACCGATTGTTGGTCGTCCGATTAAAAGTGTCATGGGTATCATATACTATCAACAAATCATAAATCACAAAACATAAACTAAAAGCCAACAAAATCTAAACCACCATCAAATCAATAGAACAACCCCCCTTTATTCTCCTCTTAATCTCACACAAAAAATAAACCAAACATGCTCCACATAATGCTATAAACAACCTAACAAAGATTCACTATTTTTGTGATAAAATGACCCATAAATTACACCTAAATTACTCGCCAAACCCATACTATCTTCAATCCCAATCAGACTAAGGGTTTAGGAACAAAGAAGTTAGGCCTCATGATTAATTCAAGACATTTTTGAGCCTTTATTTCTCATATTTGTCTGCTTTTATTTGTGTTATTTTTCCCAATTCAAAAGGTGTATTTCCTTTCTAAAGTGTTGGTGATAATGGTGTTTTTTTTTTGCGATGTTGATGATTTTAATGTTAGGTATATATGTAAATATGAATGTTTTTTTGTGAGATATATACCAGTCGTTGTGGTATATATATAGATATAAAATAGGAGAACAATCTTTGACGATGCGAAACATAGAATGAACAAATTCACATCAGAAAACAGTTACACAGCGGAAGACATATATTTACGTGGTTCGGTAAATTGTCTACTTACATGGAGTTACAAAGGATTTTACTACTTGAGGAATTTACACCAGTCGATCTTCTCGATTTACAAGAGAAATGTCTCACTTCGTCGCTCTCTCTTCTTCTCTTTCCGTTCTTCTCTCTCAACCCCAAGATATACCGAAGAAATTCTACACCGAGATACACCGAAGAAGATAACTTACAAGAGAAATAAACTCAATTTCTCTTCTGCCACAAATAACCAAGAAGAAGTCAAGGGAGAGCAATCTTCTTCTTCTTCTTCTTTCTTCTTCTTTCTACCAAGCACGCACACACTGCTTGCACTTCTCTTCCTATATCTCAAGGAAACAATACTGCAGAAGAAGAACTCAAATGGACTGTCATACAAAACTCAAGGAGAGCCGCTCCTTTTATCATGAAACCGCAACGACCGAAGGAATGCTTCGTTTCGCGTCAGAGGAAGACGGGAACGGTTGGCGCCGTTCGCGAACGAACGAAGGCGGGAGCAGTTCGTGATTTTCCGCGACACAGAGAGAGAAGCGACGATTCGTGGAAATAGGAGCGCGAGCGGGATCGGGCTCCAACACAACAGAATTAGAATTGTGTGCTGCATATGTAAATGCTCCTTGAAAGCATTTTCAAAGATTTACATACATACCATTTAATTTTCTTCTATTCACATATATATCTGACATCTAAACTTCAATTCTTTTATCATTTCACTCTTTTGGAAGATTTAAATACAAACCAATGCATTCATATGTGTTTAAACTTCAATTTTTCATTTTGCATGAAAAGACGTCTTTACTTAAAAAGGAGGTATATTTGTAATAATATATATGTTAGTGTATAAATATAAAAAAAAAATTACGCTAGAATGGGTGGTATGAATGTAAATTAAAAAAGATAGATTTTTTAGTGTGATATAAATGTAAAAGGAAAAATTTTCAGCCATATTTTTATTAAAATATGATAAAAAAAGTATTAATTTGTTTATCTTTGCGCATGCTAAATAAATAAAATAAACAATATGAACACATTTTACAAAAACATCTACCATTAGGGCTGTCAAAACGATTCGTTATTTGCGAACAGCTCGTGTTCGACTTGTTAAGAAACTCGTGTTCGGCTCGTTCGCTAAGTTAACAAGCCAAACACGAATAACACGAACAAATATTTGTTGTTCGTGTTCGACTCGTTTTGACCCGAAATAATTAATCAATTATATGTATATCTCTGATGAGTAGTCTTTTTTTAAAACTTAATTGACTACAAGGGTACAAATAGTTATAATTAATTAAATGTATTAATGACGAAAATATAATAAAAATTATTAAATTAGATTCACATGATATTTTAAATCTTACCCCAATCCTTAACATCTGATGACTACGTGATTATGGTTGGACTCTTTATTCGGGACCGGCTCGTGTTCGACTCGCTAAGCAAATGAGTCGAACACAAACACACTTTTTGAGCTCAAAATATAAACGAGCCAAACAAGAGCTGAGCCTGGGCCCAGACTCAGCTCGTGTTCGGCTAGTTTACACCCCTATTTACCATTAAGCTCGCTCGTGTTCGGCTAATTTACGCCCCCCATCTACAATAATTGATTTCCATATAAAAGAAAGGAAGGGAAGATGTGAATCTCATCACCCGAGGAGCATGCAAAAAGGTGCCAACAGTTTGGCCAGATATATAATAATTTATAATATATCAATTTATAAATAAATCCCAAAAAGAAGGAGCTCATATTATAATATAAATTTTTTGTATCTATATATATATATTATTTCACCATTGAGTCAATTATCAACGCTAGGAAGGAAGTACGCATACACATCTTTTCATGCGGAATGGGCAATGTGTATCTAATATTTATATTTTAATTATATATATAATGCTTCCCACTGGTGCCCGAAAATATCATTTCTTTTTCACGATAGATCGGGAATTGATAGTATCATCGGAGGACAGTATACATCGTGATATATATTATTTTCATTTTAAAAATAATATTAATATAATATTATTTTAAAAATATTTCTCTTTATTTTAGTAATAATGATACTCACTGTTAAGTGTTGTGTATATCTTATTTTTTGCACCATTCTGAAGTGAATTTTTTGTTTCTAAAGTATAAAAAATAATGTCACCTCAATCCTGCTATAAATAATATTACTACGCAGAGACAAAATGATCATTTGTCAATAATAAATAAATAATCAGTCAACTTATCCGCAACGACTTATTAATAAGTTATAACTGTCACAGACAGACCCTATAATTAGTCATTCCTTTATTGCTTAAATATAAAGTTGAAATGATAATTTTTATATGACATAAATATAAGATATAAAATTTAAGTTAAAGATGAGTGGTAAAGATGTGAATGCCCCCTATTATTAGTCATTCCTTTATTATTTTATATTTGATTTTGAGGCGTTAGGCATGCATCATATCATATGAATACAACTAATCAATGACAAATTATATATAAAAACACTTTTTTTTCAAAATAATATTTATTATAAATTTTAAAATCTTTGAAATTTATTTTTAATACCTTCTAAAATACAAATTACGGCGAGCCGAGAAAAATATTACGTGTCATGATTTGCACTTGCGGATTAACGCTATACAGCTCGAGTGCACTCGAAGTATACTGTGAATTCTCCTCGTCTAAATGTAAATTTTTTTTTTTTCAAAATAATTTGTTCTATTTTCAAATCTACCTCATTTTCAAAATAGATGATAATTGAGGAAGGATGAAGTTTTCATGCAATATAAAATTGGCTTTGGGCTCAAATGCTAAAAAAGCCTCTAATATGTTTTAAGATACATTACGACTCTATCAATGACTTAAGAAATTAGTTTCCAAGGAGTTTAACTCATTAATTAATCTATAATAATATTTAATAATCTAGACATTTCTAAGTGCACTCTCCACTTAAACAAATGATAATGACTAATTTAGCTTAATTAATTTAAGAATTGATCCACGTTTAGCTACACTTAGCTTACTGGTTTTCTTACCACAAAGTTATGGGATAGGCGTGGAGCGATCCACGTCGTGTGTACAGTGGTGTGGTGTGATCCATGCTATTGTCCGGACGTATTATTTTCTCTCTATTTGTTGTTATGATAGCTATTTTACACTAGCTGCTGAGTTGATCTGTCGGATTGCCTTAGGATGCTGGCTCGTCAATCTGGTAGGGACGTTCAT